TAATGTGCTTGAAACTGATAACTAGATAACAATTTAATTAAATGTCATCTAGTTATTAATTGTTTATTATATTACAACATAATCGGGGGTTTAGGGCCAATTTCTACGGCGACCCAGTGGTATGTTGTTTGTTGACAATAATTTTATGTGTGCATGTTTATTTCATGTAATTTATAATCGTCATAAATTAGCTAAAATTAATTATTGCTAATTATAAGTAACCAAAAGTTTCATTTGTTTTAATAGGGTATCCGTACGATAGGGTACGGCCACAACTGCAATGCCCAGGGCTGCTCCACTATTCACGCGCCGATCACTAAAGCACAGGGCGAGGCACTATTACACCAGGATCTAGTGCAGTTTCAAAACTGTGTGGAGGCTCAAGTGCCATTTGTTAATGATAATCAATTCGCTGCTGTAAGTTTTTGATACCATTTATTCTATATAACAAATTCCCTAAAATATTTACTAAAATATCCTAGATAAATGTGTGTAAAGCTAGATAAATCTCTCTCTACAAATCTAAAGCATGATAAATTAACAATAAATTTTAATCAAATATTAGTCATGTAAATAAACATATGATAATAGTTTACGAATTATAATAATTTTATAAATTAATATGAATTTTTATTTTATTTTGGATTAAACCATGCGCAACTAAAATACAGTTGGTATCGTTCACATTCAACTTGGGCTGCGGTAACCTCCAGTCGTCTACCCTATTGAAGGACGTTAAGGCCAAGAACTATGCGGCCGCCGCTAATGAGTTCGGCAAATGGGTGTACGCGGGCGGACACAAGTTGCCTGGTTTGGTCACCAGACGTGCCCGCGAGAGGGCGCTCTTTCTTGCCTAAACACTTGCGACAAATGCAATATAATTATAACATTTAATTAATGTAAAAAAATCTAATAATAAATAAGTTAATTGAGTTTTGATATATTATTTATTTATTGCCAATAGTGTTATATTTTGATTATAATTTAATATTAATACAACATAGATGTTGATAAATGTAGATAGATACAATGTAGATAAAAAGCGATATTTTTTAAAAATTGTATAAACATTTTTAAATGTAAAAATGTAATAAATTTTGCTAAAATTATCTGGATACACTTAAAATAAATCAATACTTGATTAATAACTTGGTATTATGCTATTGTTGCTTAATAATTGATTTTATAAAACATGTTTAACCATATTTTAAATGTAACCACGTCAATGTTAATTGCATTGACGTCAAACAATAGAGTTAATAAATATAACAAACAATTAATAACTACATGGTATTTAGTTAAATTTTTGTCTATTTATCATTTTCAACCACTTTATCAAATTAATAACAAATGCCACAGAACAGCATATATTATGTAAAAATCGTTTTATCATGATCAAAATAATTGTATATAAACGCATAGATAATAGTATTCAAATTATTAGTACAAAGTTAATACTCAACATGATAAAAACAATCACGGTACTTTTTCTTGTCGTGGCGTTGGTTAGTGGCCGAAATATTAACAGGGCTGGTATTGACATGATTAAATCGTCCGAAAAGTTCGTGCCCAATTTCTATGTTGATCCAGTGGTATGTTTTAATTGTTAATTATACTCACATTTTTGTATTAATTTTATTTACTCATAATAAATATTGAAAAATAACTAAAACTAATATTAATAATGATAAAACATTAAAATATATTATTTATTATCTTTATACCAGGGTATCCGTACGATAGGCTACGGACACAATTGTGTTGCCCTGGGCTGCGACACTATTCGCGCGCCGCTCACACAGGCACAGGGCGAGGCACTGTTATTAAAGGACCTAGCGCAGTTTCAAAACTGTGTTGATGCTCAAGTGCCATTTGTTAACGATAATCAATTCGCCGCCGTAAGTTGTTCTGTATTAATACATAAGTTGCTTATCCTGGTTATTTTAAACGATATTTGCCCAGTTATTTGCTTTATTTGAATTAATCTGATAAAATATATATTAAAATACTATAAATATAACTAATGTAATTTAATAATTGTAAAATACTAATTATATATTACTAGATTTAAATTCATAATAATTTTACAGTATAATAGTAATTTTCATTGCATATTTATGAATTAACCATGCGCAAATAAAACACACCATACGGATGCAGTTGGTATCGTTCACATTCAACTCGGGCTGCGTTGCCCTCAAGAACTCTACGCTATTGAAGTACGTGAAGGCCAGGGACTACTCGGCCGCCGCTAACGAGTTCGGCAAATAAGTTAAAGCGGGTCCCAAAGGACACAAACAAACTCTACCCGGACTCGTCGCCAGACGGGAGCGCGAGAGACAACTATTTGTTGCCTAAACATCCTGGGACAAATTATAATTGTTACATTTATTCAATGTAGACAATCTAATAATAAATGAATAAGTTGATCTAGTTTTGATATATTATTTATTGATTGCTAATAGTGGTGTATTTATAATAAATAATTAAATAAGCATATAGTGTACCGATCGTGTTATATGTTGAGAAATACAGAATTATAAAATCAGCATATTTTTATAATTATATCTCATTTGTAATATAATATAAGATATTAAGGAAATATAAGGGTAAGGGAGCAGCCGAGCGATCCTATAAACCACATTATTCATAAATGAATTGTGATTAAAATTAAATATTTAAATATTTACTCTATCATAAAACACTTTTTCTATTATAATTAAAATATTAAATAAATTATGAAATATTGTAATTTTTAAAAATTAAAAAGTAGATATACAAACTTGGTCACTTATGTAATTTTTATTTTTATAAACTTTGTACTTAATCAATAAAGAAATGACATTATCTTTATAATTAATGTAAATATTTTTATAATAACTGTTTAATTAAAATTATTCATTAATAAAGGTTCAATTTTTCGGGAGTAAAATTTGTGAATAAAACAGTCAAAATCAGGACAATTGGGGAATTATGTTTTCATTCAATTATAATTTAATTATCCAGATATTATGCATTTAAATAAATTAAAGATTAATTATATTTGATAATGACATGAAATTTTAACTTTTTCAGTCAATGGATGCCTTCTATCTGTAAGAATAATTGAACTCAAAATTTTATATTCAATTTGAAATTATTGTGGATTATAAAACAGGTTTTATAAAATTTTTGATATCAATTACCGTATATTTAATTCTAATATTTTATTTAAAAATTTAATGAAATATCTATAATCACTAATCATAATTGTATATAATTTCCAATGATTGTGTTAACATTTTGTTTTAAAAATTCCCAAACATTAGACGTTTTATTAATTAATATGCAATTCAAAATGTTTATAATAAAAGCAATCTACATGGTATATAAATGAGCAACTTATTACGCATTTAATTTATAATCAAAAATAAATTAATAAACAATTATTAAGTGTAATAACATTTACTTAACAATAAAGCATATTGTTTTAATATAAAACACTATGTTTAAAACTACGACAATTCTTTTAGCTACCATGGTGGTAGTTAACGCAGCGAATATTGGTAGCAGCGAACATTCGCATTCGGCTAATAATGACCTATATGATTATTTTTGTGGAGCTGTTGATTGCGTTAAAAGGGGTATTGAGTGTATAATGTGCTGTTTGCGTGCATTAGAAGATTATATTCGTGTTGCTCAATTGTCTACTATACCGGTCACAATTCCTGCAACTAACCCAACTACTATCCCAACCACTACCCCAACCACAACCACTACTACTAAAGCAACGAGCAAACATCGTAAAGTTAATCAAGCTGCCGTAGATTTAATCAAGAGCCATGAGAAATTCAGGGCCAATTACTATAATGATCAAGGGGTGAACTAAATTAATAAAATACTAACTAATATGAATGATATTTTATAATAATTAAACAAGGATCACTTAACAATGATATACGTTAATCACTAATCGGGTATTGCTCAAAGAATAGATTACCATTGTCCATAGACTTAATATGAGTCCCATTAAGTTAGTATTGTCCTAACATTACCATATTTTATACCTATGTCATAGACTTAAGCTGTAATTTCATAGAAACTCATTTTCACTTCAAAACAATGTTTCCTATATAAGAATCAACATGTTAAAATATAGCCATAAGATTAACATAGACGCCCATGTTAAATCCCATAGTGTAGGGAAGAGTGAGATGGATGGAGAACGATTCTAACAACCACACTTTTCATAAATGAATTTTGATTAAAAAACTATATTAAATAAATAAGTTTGGTCTGCCCAGGAACGTGTAACCATCGGCTACGGTCATTTGTGCGGTGCTACTGAGTGTCCCGATATTAAAGCGCCCATTACCCGGGAGAGGGCGGAACAAATATTACGCGATGATATAAACGAAAAAGAGACCTATGTCCAAAAGCAAGTGCCATTTGTCAACGACAATCAATTTTCCGCCGTAAGTACTATACTTATATTTATAATAAATATTTATATAAAGTATGCTTTACTATTATTTGTAATATAAAATTTACATTTATTTAATATACTTTGCGTAATTTATGAATATACACAAACAGTTAGTTTCGCTCACTTTCAACTCCGGTGGGTTTGATGGCAAGCCAAAGTTATTAAAATATTTGAAAGCCAGAAACTACCTAGCCGCCGCTAATGAGTTCGACGACATTATTATGGTCACAAATAGGAAAACTGGAAAACGAGAAAAATCTAACGGGCTCATTAAACGAAGGGCTGAAGAAAAGGCCCTATTCCTTACACCTAGTAACTAGTAATAATTATTAATTGTTTTTACTATGGTGTTTTAAGTTACTTTATAAAGTTACTTTATTTTACTTATGTTTTCTATCTGTTTTAATTTTTATTTTGGATTTATGTTTTTAAGTGCCCTGTTACGATCTGACTTGATTAAATGTTGCCCTTGATCATGTTTTTAGTTGATAGTTATTTTACTATTACTATAATACTAAATAATCTTACAATATACTAAAAATTATATAGTTATTTACAAATTATTATTAATTATTTTATCATTTAATATTAAAATTCTATGTTTATTATGTAATCCTTATTATCATTATAAAATTTGTTTTATAATAAATACAATAAATTTTGTTATGAAATATAAATAGAATTTGAAATTATATAATTTATATATTAATTACAAAATTACAGTATAAATAATTAACACTAACATATTTGATTAAATATAATTAATAAAATATTAAATTATTTTTAATATTAGTATATCTGTTTATAAATAAAATAATTTATGTATATATTTCTATTAGTTTTGTTTAATCGGGGTGACATTTCATACTGTACACTTGATTAAGATTCCAAATTGAAAATTAATTTTAACATTATTGAAGTAAATACAATTAAATCTAGTTAAATGTCGGGCAAAAGGATCGCGATCATCAGTGCGGGTCAGTTGGGTTTGGGTGCGTTCAACGCCTGTCGGGAACAGCACTTCGACGATGTGTTCGTATATGAGAGGTCTGACAGTCTGTGCGGTCTGTGGGCTAATAGGGATGAAACACAACGGGAGGCCTGCGATACCGGCGCCCGACTATTGCCGACCACAACACTAAACAGTAGTAAAGAGATGAACGCCTACTCAGACTTTCCGTTCCCACAACACTATCCCAATTATGTTTACCACACGCTTACGGTAATTGTTATAAACTAACATTTTAAACATTGTAACTTTTATTTACATTTTTACCTTATTTATGTATTAATAGAGAGAATACCTGTTATTATACGCGGAGAGAATCAGTATTAAAAAGTACGTAAAACTACGGCACGAGTTAATTGGTTGTCAGCAAAACGCGGACTACAACCGGACGAGCAGATGGAGGCTAACGGTGCGCGACATAGACAACGACCGGGTGTTTGACGCGGTGTTTGATGGGGTAATTGTATGCGCCGGACGTTATCACCGGCCGGTTATACCCGACATAAAGAATCGGCACTTATTTGCGGGACTTGTTGTGCACACAAACACTGTGTCGGACACGACTGGGTTAGAGAGCCAGCGGGTGGTTGTGTTGGGCGTCGGCAACTCAGGCATTGATGTGGCGGTCAAGTTGGCCAAAGTAAGTTAGAATGCAAGTTTAATTAAACCATGATCAAATTAACTACAATGAATCAATTATTTAAACTATAAATATGGTAAAACATTTGTGACATTTAAAATAGTATATTTGTAGATAAAGTGTCATTAGACTAAATTACAATATGACCAGGTGTACTTATCGTCGCGTACCGGGTGTTGGATATTTGGCCGATTTTTTAATAAGGGTATACCGACTGATACTTTCGGATTGAGACGTTGTTTTGATTGGATGTTTAAGGGCTGGACGTACCCAATGGCCAGTCGATTAGTCACAACATACCTAAACAAAACCCAATTTGACCACAAATTATTTGAACTTAAGCCGAAGCACCGGGTGTTTGGTGCGTAGGGCGTAGTGTTTAGTGATGATCTGGCTAACAATATTATGAAGGGCTTAATTACAATTAAAAGCGATATACAAAAATTTACAGCGACCGGGGTTATATTTGAAAATATTTGCAATAAATATTTAAAATATCATAAAATATATTACTATAAAAAAACTAACCAAGTCAAAAGTTATTAATAATTTATAAACATTATTTTTAAATTACATGCTCAAATAAAACACACCATACGGATGCAGTTAGTATCATTTACATTTAACTTAAGCTGCGGTAACCTCCAGTCGTCTACTTTATTAAAGTACGTGAACGCTAAAAACTATTCGGCCGCCGCTAATGGGTTCGGCAAATAGGTGTACGCGGGCGGACACAAGTTGCCCGGTTTGGTCACCCGTCGGGCCCGCGAGAGGGCGCTCTTTCTTGCCTAAATATTCGCCACAAATGCATTAAAATTATGCCATTTATTAAATGTACAAAATCTAATAATAAAAAAATTAATTAATAAGTTAATTAAGGTTTGATATTTTTTTTATTTATTGCAAATAGTGTAATATTTTGATTATAATGTTATCTAAATAATAGATAAAAAGTGATATTTCTTAAAATATGAAAAATTGTATGAACATTTTTAAATGTAATAATGTAATAAATTTTGTTGTAATTCTCTTGATAAACTTAAAATAAATCAATACTAAATTAATGACCATATATTAAATGTAACCACGTCATTGTTAATTGTATTGATGTCAAAGAAAGAGTTAATAAATCTAACAAACAATTAATAACTACATGGTATTTAATTAAATTGTAATCTAGTTATCATTATCAACCACTTTATCAAATTAATAACAAATACTATAAAAGAGCATTTATAAGACAATTAATTACTTCTATTGTTGTTTAAATATTTGTTCAATATATTCAAAAATTAATGTACAATCCATTGATTTTGCCTTTAATATATGGATTTCACTTTTCAACCGCGAGATTATATTAGGGGTTATTTTAATATTATTTTCATCAAAAATATTATTGAATTCATTTATTATATCATTTATATTTTGTGTTCTCTCCTCTGTTTTTTCAAGTAATCCATTAATAAATGCTTGCATTTGATTTACATTTACGCCAAAACAGTCTAAAATATATTTCTGGTAATCAATCTTTTTGATGTCATTCCTATTAAATATAAATAATTTACACTTAAAATGTAGAATGTTAATTTGGTTAAAAATATAAATACCTGATATGCGTTAATTGTATTTCAAACAAACTGTTGATTATCATTGATAAATTGTTACACAATACTTTCACGTTTGCTTGTGTAGAACTCGCATTATACAGATATTTATAATCATGACAATAAAATTTCATATAGTTATCACTCATTATATTATTGTTTGCAATAAAAATACGTTTAGTATTGAGTGAAATGTTTGTGATATTTATATTCAAAGCAATCACTGCTTGAATACAATGTAATAATTGTCTCAACAATTGCTGTGAAATAAGGAAATCAATTGAAATGATTGCCAACGAGTGATGAAATGTTTTCAATGTTTATATCCAAAGCAATCACTGCTTGAATACAATGTAATAATTGTCTCAACAATTGCTGTGAAATAAGGAAATCAATTGAAATGATTGCCAACGAGTGATGGGTTTGTGTCCCAAATATCACGTGTTTTGCATTTATGACATCCCATAGAGTTTGTGAACAAAACTCTGTTTGAATGTAAATCTCTTTGTTTTCAATCCAAGAGTTATAGATTTGAAATAAATATTGAGGTTTTAATGTAAATACTTTAATAATATTTCCCACAAGATCCTTTGTCGGCACACTAACTATAAATTATTAATTTAATGATATTATATTAAAAAATTTAATAGTTTCATTTTAAAATTAAACACGGATTATTTTCTGACAAACTTTGTAGCATAATTAAATGATATTACCACATTATTCTAATTATATTCGTAGGAAAACATAAATGGTCATATAGATAATGATTAGGTATGAAATCATTAGAACAAACTCATTATATATTTAAGTATTTTGCATTATAATCTATAACATAATAATATAATTAGCGCATTATGATTGCGACCTGTTATAGAAAATATAATAATTTCTTTTGACTAATCATAGCCTACTTATTTAACACTTTAATTAGAATTAAAAAATACATTTTATTAGTGTAAAATAGTTAAAATATTAGAATATTGGATAGAGAGCACTTACGATTTCCTATAGATTTGCTCATGTAATAAAACTTGTTGTTTATAATATTTTCTACTTTACCAAATGCAACAAAATCGTATACGTTATCTAGTTGCGCGATCTGTTTTCCGTGCGATTGGAAGTTTACACTGGTAACTATAATAAAATTACTTTCAGCATTATATAGACAGAATAAATTCAGAATAATTATATTATAATAAATTAAATAGTAGTAATGACAAAAATTTGTACGTGATAATTCGCAATAATTACGATCGGAATGTTGCTGAACTGTATTGCATACACTAGTAATTTCTATGAAGAGATAAACACCAATTATTATTTATTAGTTTAATACAATGAACATAATATCAACATTGATTTACCAATGTTTTCGTCGCATGTTTGGCAAATAATACCAGTTTTATTACAGCTAAAAAAATATTCTAAAAATTGTTTGAATTTGTTTTCAATATTATCGTCAAATAATACATCATTTTTGTTATAATATATCGTCTCAAGTGATAAACGCTTTATGTTATGTAAAATTACTTCACATTCGAGCCTTTGTTTCCATATATCCGCAATATCTTCACAATTCTCTGTATAAACACTAACACTCATTGATAGTAACAATCGGTATAGTTCTAACAATTTATTTTCCAGATTTGCATTATTATTATTAATTTGCAAATTAAAATTCAATCTAAAAATATAAATTTAGTTTAATGTAGCTGTATATAATTAGCCGGTCAAATAATCTGTTCGCTCGTAGATTTCGAATAACTATTAAACTATAATTGCGACAGAAATAATTGGCTCGTTATTAACTTTACTGTATTTAATGTATAGCAGAGGCGGTAGTCAATGATTAAATGAACCAATGACTAAAAATTTTAAGTGTAACATTATATAGTTTAAAAGTTGTTTGAATTATACGAACTATTTGCCTTCCCCAATTATATAAATAAAATACAATTTTAAATATTCATAATAACATACACTCCGTCTCTGATATCGTCGGAATCGAAACCAAATATTTTCGCTCCAATGAGTGCCAGACTATAGACATCTATTAAATGGTTATAACATCCGGTGCTTACTTCCGGCGCTTGAAATTGAAGGTCTAAATCAGTCATTTGGAAGGCATCCGTGGCATCACTCACTTCCTTAGATAATCCAAAGTCACATAATTTTATATATCTATTATTTCTATCGATAGTGTTTGAAATCAACACATTATCGGGTTTGAGGTCTCTGTGAATGATATTATTTTTATGCAAATACTCCACACTTTCCACCAATTGTTTGAATATTTCATATGATATATAATATCCAAATTCACTCATTATTTTTCCAAATAATCTTCTTTTTATTTTTAAATCGTGTGTTAAATTTCCGGCCAAATAATCCATTTGAATGTATAGACAGTTGTTTTCTATCCATGAATAGTGATATTCAATGACATATTCTGAGCGTAATTTTGTCAAGTTTTGCGTTTCTTTTAATACATTTTGTTTGTCTTTTTCATTTAAACCTTAAAATTAGATTAATATTTAATTAATTCAAATAAATATAATAATTATGTTATTAATGAACATAGCGTCTGAATCAGCTCAAAATGTACATTGTATTTTTAAAACTTTACACATACAAACTTTTATCAAAATTTAATCAATATGTATATCAACGAGTATAAAAGTTATACTTTATTCAATACTTATGAGTGATATAATGTCTATGAAAATAAAGTAAAATTTGACGCTATGATCAAGTAGATAAAATAAATATTTAAAAATTATTACAATTTAATTGACATTTTTTAATCGCATATTCGCTACCAGTGTGTCTATCCTTTACAATAACCACTTGACCATAACCTCCGGATCCGAGACTTTTCAATTCATCAAACATTTTCCTATAATTCATTTCCCAATTGGTTTCTAAACATATTTTTTATTGAAAATTCCAAATAATTAATTATATAAATTCACTTATAAATAGATTGTCTTACTATCATGTGGTTTATTGTTAATTCTTTGAATACTATTATTGTGTTTTGTTATGTCCATGGTTTTATAAGTCACTTGATATTTATTAATGGAGTAGTCATCAATTGTTGCATATTTAGTCTCGTTGAATGTAAAAATAATATTGTTGTATTCAAATACTTGTGCAGCGCTAATACAAATAATTGTAGAATCATTTTCATTTCGTGCCGGTACAAAATCATCAAACAATAAATTACCAATCGGTATCATAACTTTAACATTATCAAAATCATATTTGTAAACGTGTTTATCATTTGAATGCATTAATAGGAATTTATTTATGCTATACGTCAAACATATCATTCGGATATTAGTAACGTTTAGTAATAATTTTGGTGTACTTGTTATCTCGTTGTTTCTAAACATTCTCCACATAAACGCCTCTCCATCGGATGTAATGCCAAATGAGTTTTCAAACGAACAAATAATGTCTGCAATTTTGTATTCAATGGGAAAGTGTATTTTGATTGGCTTTTCTGTTTTTATTATTCCATATGTCGCTTGATATGTACATTGATATACGTGTCCATCGCATGTCAGAGCGATAAATGTGTAATCAAAACATGATAGTTTCTTAACACGTATATCACGTGAATTACATAATATTATTTTGTGTGGTTTATTATAATTGTTTTCTTTGAGAGCCATACGACCCCAACCAAATAACTGGTGATCGCTGTTTAAGGCTAATACAAAATTTCTACCATTGAAAAAGTTTTGTATATTATTACACTTTAGTTGTATTACTTTTTTGGGTGTATGTATGGGTCGGTTGTGTCCCAAACCCAACACTCCCTCACTATTACTGCCCAACCCATAGACCCGATCACTAGTCGTCACAAACAATATATTTTGCTCATTTTCCCAATCATTGAAAACATGAAATAATTTAATTTCTTTTCTCAATTTGTCGGAAATTGTGGCACAAATTTTAAACATATTTAAAATCTCAGACATTATTATTGAAAATATAATGTTTTTATAAAATCAAAATATCAATATAATAATTATTAATTTATTGTATTAACGTTTCAAATTTTTAAATTATTTATAAGTGACACTTAAATATTATTTAAATTATTTGTTCGTACTTATAAAACGAATTTAATGTTAATAACTATAAGTTATAACAATCATAAATAGATTTGATTTATTACAACGTTTGGTTGTTAGAGACGAACACAAAATACATGATAATTGCCATACATTTCATAACAACTGATAACACAAAGAAACAATTAAAGTTATTTATATTATAGTTAAATATATTTTTAATGTAAAGTGTAATTTATACAGTGTAAGCCTAGAAATAAACAATTAGTAATAAGCATAATAAACTCTAATACTCAAAACTATATAAAGTATCATAAAGAATACAAACTTTATCTTTAAAAATCTCTCAGTAAAGCAAAAACAAAGTAATTTTCAGAGACATCCGTATGTCTGAAAAAGTATTATTTATTTGTTTAGCTACACATTTAGTGTTCCAAACAAAAATTTTAATAAATTATAAATGCGAAAGGTTTATCTAAAATTGTTGTATTTTAAATTATTTCATTCACGCCCCAATCCCCCAAATCACAGCGTGATACACTATTAAATAAAGACCTAGTGCAGTTTCAAAACTGTGTTGAGGCTCAAGTGCCATTTGTTAACGATAATCATTTCACTGCCGTAATTATTTATTTTTAAAAAATCACAATATAAAATATTTATTAAAACACTATGAATAAATCATTATAAAGTGTCTTGTAAATTTAGAGTCTAATACAGTATTAATAATTTATTATTTGTTTTGGTATAGTTTAATACATGTTGTTTACCATGAGTAAAGCCTTTTTTTCGGGAACTCCCGAATAAAATTAGTGAACAAAAACATCGGGAATTACGTACCGATAGGCTTATGGGTCGAAATAGGACTAATATATATAGTTTTTATTTTCCCGATTTTTCCCGATTTTTGCATATTTTGAGAAAACTCCCGAATATACTATTTTTCCCGATTATCTCCCGAATAGTCCCGAAAACGCACTTTTGTTACAAAAAACACCTATAATCATCGCTTATTCTTTAAAAATTTCAATGAAATATTAAATAAATACAAAATGCTAGCAAAATATTGTATATTTAGATATAAAATTTAATAAATGTCGTTTTATAATGACATTGGTTTAATTATGATATTAGTTGACGCATTTATGATTGCAACAGTCAAAATATATATGTGGTTTCATTACACATATATTTCAACAAATGTAAATTAGTTAAATTTTTTTAAAAATCAGAGTTTTATATGTGAATTTATTGCTTATTTACTGATTAATATAATGAAATCGACTTGCATACAATTTATAACTCATTTATAAGTAACAGAAATATCCGAAACCATCATTAATATGCTTAATTTTATAAGTTTTTGTTCCCGATTTTATTCCCGAATTTGGACAATTTATACTCCCGATTCCCGCCCGAATTTGACTGTTTTTATTCCCGAAAAATAGAGGCTTTAACCATGAGTAATACATTTTATACATTAATTGTCAAATTATAGTATAAATAATTAATACTACAAAATTTAATTAAATATAATAAATTAAATATAGAATTATTTTTAATATTGGGTATTTGTGTTTATAAATAAGATAATTTATGTATTAAATTTAATTCGTGTTTTAATATAATCGGGGTAAAATTTAATACTGTACATTTAATAAAAACACCAAACTGGACAATACCTAATTAAAAATTCATTTTAAAACTATTAAATTAAATACAATTTAATCTAGTTAAATGTCGGGCAAAAGGATAGCAATCATCGGTGCGGGTCAGTCGGGTTTGGGTGCGTTCAACGCGTGTCGGGAACAGCACTTCGACGATGTGGTCGTGTATGAGAGGTCCGACAGTCTGTGCGGTTAGTGGGCTAATAGAGATGAAACACAACGGGAGGCCTCCGATGCCGGCGCCCGACTATTGCCGACCACAACACTAAACAGTAGTAAAGAATTGAACGCATACTCGGACTTCCCGTTCCCACAACACTATCCCAATTATGTTCACCACATGCTTATGGTAAATATACTGACCTGATATATTTATTAACACGTTATTTAATACATTAATTGTTTATTATTTTAATTAATTTATTTAATAATGTTAAATTACAAAATTATTTTAAATGTTTATTCAATTTTCATTGTATGTATTAATATAGAAATACCTGTTATTATACGCGGAGAGAATTGGTATTAAAAATCACGTAAAAAGAGAGACACGAGTTAATCGGTTGCCAACAAAACGAGGACTACGACCGGACGGGCCGATGGAGGCTAACGGTGCGCGACATCGACAACGACCAGGTGTTTGACAACGTGGTCGACGGTGTAATTGTATGCGCCGGACGTTATCACCGGCCGGTTATACCCGACATAAAGAATCGACATTTATATGCGGGACGTGTTGTGCACTCAAACCTATTGTCGGACACGACTGGGTTAGAGGGCCAGTGGGTGGTTGTGTTGGGCGTCGGCAACTCAGGCATCGATATAGCGGTCGAGTTGACCAAAGTATGTAAAAAGTAAGTTACAATACAAATTACTGTATATAAAACCACGATCAAATTAATTACAAAGAATCAATTATGTAAACTATGAATAGGGTAAAACATTTGTGACATGTAACATAGTAGACATGTAGATAAAAGTGTCATTAGACCAATTACAATATTACCAGGTGTAAGGGCTGGACGTACACAATGGCCAGTAGATTAGTCACAACATACCTAAACAAAACCCAATTTGACCACAAATTATTCTTACTTAAGCCTAAGCACCGGGTGTTTTCTCAGGGCGTAGTGTTTAGTGATGATCTGGCTAACAATATTATGAAGGGTTCAATTACGATTAAAAGCAATATACAAGAATTCACGACGACCGGGGTTATATTTGAAGGTATTTGCGATAAATATTTAAAACACCATAAAATATATTACTATAAAAAAAACTAACCAAGTCAAAAGTTATTAATAATTTATGAATATAATTTTTTAATGTGTTATATTTGGTTAACATGCTTAACATGGTTAACATTAATCATGATCATTAATCACTAATTAACGGGGTTTATAACCAATTGCTACAATAAATAGGCGAAACTGTTGAGACACCGTGCGATACCGTCATATACGGCACCGGTTACCAACAGTGGTACCCATATTTGCCGGACGAGTTACGCCCAGAGCTGAACCCCTACCTGCGGCTATACAAACACATATTCTACCCGCACCTAAAACACGCGCACACTCTGGCCATTACGTTCAATATGACGCCCGCCGGTGCGGCCAATCCGATGGTTGAGCAACAATATAGATATTTTGCGCTATTGATGGCCGACAGGTGCCGACTGCCGTCCGAGAAACGTATGCTCCGGGATATCCGGCGCCAGAAGGCGTGGGTTATCCGGTACTATCCACGGTATAACAAGCACTCAACGCACGTGCGATATATTAAATATATGGATGAATTGGCCCGAGAAATGGGTGTTAAGCCACGGCTCTGGAAGTACGCGTTCACTGATCCGAAGCTCTGGTGGCGCGTATACGCCGGTCCCTGCGTTCCCTATCAGTACAGATTAGATGGTATGTAATAATTTGATTATGATACTTGCATAGCAATAACTATTATTTGATTATGGTATTTTATTTTCGCGCAATAGGCCCTAATTCATGGCCCGACGCCCGGGAAGCCATACTGACAGTCGACCCACCGATTAGAGTCCCATTCAAAATACGTGTCAATATATAGTTAGTGTTCACTATTTATTTGTCATCTTAATATAATAATATAGATATAATAATAACAATAATATAAAATAATATAAATTACCAGATTAACGTTCAGATAGTAATGCGACAATCATCAAAACTAAGTCTCTCTCTCATTCGACAATAATTTTATTGAAACGATATAAAAATTAATAAAATTCTAGAATTAAATTTGGATTGGGTAAATGTAAACTATTAATTAATAAAATAAAATAACAATGAGTTTCGTGTAACCCAATAATTTAAAGTTAGTTTTATTCTTATAAATATATTAGAAATAATTTTTTATTACAGTTTATAAACTCTCTCTCTCTCTCTCTCTCTCTCTCTCTTTCAGGACCTAAAATTAATGACAGGTTGGATGCCATCGGATATAATGCGCTCACATATAATAGTGATGATCACCACTTGC